TAGTTAAGTGGGGAGGTAGTCGCTCCGTGTGGCTTTGCAGAGAGCGGCAGAAGAGGGCACCAGAGGGCAGCGCCGTATTATTGCCTAGGCCGACAAGGCCTAGGCCTAGGGCGGCAAATTTGCAGGGGCGGAAGCTCCCCTCCGCGCCCCGCCCCCCTGCTCCAGCTCACCTCCGCCTCCTCTGCAAGCGCGCTGCCGTGTCCTGTTTCTCTCCCCTCTCAGCGCTTGCGCTGCGAAACTGCTGTTTCGCGGGGCAGGGAGGGAGGGGGGACGCCACACGCTCGGGAAGAGGCGGGGCTGGGGGCCGGGATTTGGGGAAGGGATCCAATAGGGGAAGGGAGGGGGCAGAGTTGGGGCGGGGACTTTGGGGAGGGGGTTGGAATGGGGGCGGGAAAAGGGCGGCGTCGGGGTGGGGCCAGGGCTGCAATTATTTCCCGGCCGAGGGGCGGCAAAATTATTAATCCACCACTGCCGGAGGGGTTTGTTGGGGAAAGTTCACTGGCGCCGAAGACGACCAGGAGCACCCAAGACTCACCACTGTATTGGAACTTTGCTCAGGACTCTTGAACTCTGTGTGCAGACACATTGCTCAGTGTCTGTCCTGTCAGACTGTGCTACCACTGGGCCTGTGGGGCCTTGGCTTGGATGCAATCCTGTTTTACTCTCCCTTATATTTCCCCTTGTTGTTTTTCTCCTCTCATCCCTCTGTAAATAAATATTTCCCTTGTTACATACACTGTACTTTTCCTGTGTGTGTGTGTGTGTGTTCACTCTGGGGAGTTTGGAACAGGTGCCCCTGGGATTGAAGGGATTTCTCCTGCTGCATTCCTGCGCGCGCCCTGTCTTGTCCAGAGCTGCCTGCAGAGCAGACTCCATCTTGGCCACAAGGGCGCTAAAGTTATACTACCAACATCCTTCTGGGATTGTGGACACCGGAACTGAACACAGGATTCCAGTAGCAGTCGCACCAGTGCCAAATACAGAGATACCATAACTTCTCTCCTCCTGCTCGAGATTCCTGATTCCCCCAGGAATCAGCCTTGCTCAGCTTCATAATGACATTGCTCTCACCTGTCTGACAGACTTCCAAAGATGATGCCTCCCGCCAGGACCCCAGCCATGTAGATGGACTGAGCCATCTGCTTCAGCTGCCGGGAGTCACACACCAGGTCCCACTGTAAGGGAGAGAGGAAACGAAGCTGGGCTCCAGGAGGAAGACTGGCTTGTGGTTAAGGCCCCAGAGTGGGGCAGAGATTTTCAGAGCCATTGATGGCATTTAGACAGCCAGTTCCCATAGCAATCCTTACAATTCATTTTAATTTGTTAATTACAAGTCCAAAGCTACCTACGTTTAATGGGAAATGTGATCTGCAGGGCATCACAGCCTGAATCTCTCTGAGCCTCAATATCCATCATCTGTAAAATGAGGGACGATCATCCTGGTCTCAAGCTTTGTCTCTGTGCAGCACCCAGCACAGCTGGGCCCCAATCTCAGTTGGGGTTCACAGAGCACCCAGCACAGTCTCAGTTGGGGTCTGTGCAGTGTCCAGTGCAATGGGGTCCTGACTGGAGCTGGGGTCCATGCAGTATCCGCCACAAGGGTTCCCCAGTCTGAGCTGGGCTCTGTGCAGTGCCAGGCACAACAGGGCTCCACTCTCAGCTTGGGTCTGGGTAGCATCTGGCACAGTGAGTCTCCGAACTCAGCTGGGTCTCTGCAGTGCCTGGCAGAATGGGTCCTTTCGATGTTAATGTAGGATCAAATATAATGATCCCACGTGAGGTGGATGGTTTTGAATGGACTGAGCGTTCAAGAGACTGGGACCCCTACTCCTAGCTCTGACACTGACTTGCTGTGACCTTGGCCAAGTCATGCTGCCTCGCTGTGCCTCAGCTGTGAGATGGGATAGTAAAGTTTAGTCACTATTGTAAAGCCCTTTGAGATCTAGGGGAGAGCAGGGCTAGCTCTTAGCATCATTCACAGTTCCTTTAATGCAGATTAGTGGATTATGTCCAGTTTAATTGAGAGGAAACTGACTGCAAAATGGATGGGGGAACTCATACCCCAACCAGTGCAACCACAGCTTCCTCCTACTCGTACACTGAAGGAATCAAGTCTCTGTGAAGCGCAAAGGCCGTGTCCTGCTTTCCTTTACACCTGTGCAATGGCAGCCACTTGAAGTCGCAAGAATTGAAGTCGCCTGGGGGGCCAGAATGTAACTGAGAACAGCACGTGGCCCTGGATGAAATTCTGCACTGACTTAGGCTGAAACCAAGCCGATGTCAATAGACATGCAGGGGCTGTAGGTTGGTGCAAATTTTAAGATCAGATCTAGGAAGAGGAGGATTGATAGATAGATACTCTGACCCTCTCTGCCCAAAGGACAGTGAAGCTTACTTTCAAAAATCTATGAAAAGGCATAACTCCAACAAAAATATTTTCAACTCATCCACCCCAACTTCCACCGCATGGTTTCAGCATCCTTTTTCCAGCCGGTTACCTGCACTGCAGCAGGTCTTGCTCTCACATACCTCTGTAATGATGGTGCTGGTGAAAATGCTCTTGTCGTACACCCACCCATCAGCGCAGGGTTCAGTCTCCAGCTCGGTTAGGTTTGTGACTGTGGCGTTGGAGTCTAGGAGCTGCCACTGCATAGTGACAAAGCGGTGACACTTCTCTGGCTGCAGGTTGCTGTCCATGGGGATGGAGACCCTGAGGAGGTCCTTGGCAGCGAGCTTTCCGGTGAGGTTGGTGTAAGGAGTGTTGTTGATGTTGATATGGACCTGGCAGTGGTGCTCAGAGGTGGCAGCAGTGAAGTTCTGCAGGAGGTTATGGCTGGCTATTATGAAAACTGGGATAGCCAGTAAGATAGCATAGATGATTTGGAAGCGACCCATCCCGCCGACGTGGTCTAAGAGCTCGGCAAAACTTATGGTGCAGGGTTGGAAGATTCAGCACTAACTGTCTGGGTTAAGCAAAAACGATGGGGCTTGAATAACGGACGTTACCTTGTAATTGTAAAAATTAAACGTTGTGCGATCAAAATATCTACACAGAAAGACGTTAATTTGAATCCAGCTTGTATTGCACTTCACAACTTCAACAACAGCCATAAAGCGCAGCACTTCTTACAAAAAGTCAGCTGTTGGCAAATAGTGTCCATGGATTCTTGAGGGTGTAGTTTCCAAAGAAGAGGCGTTGAGTTATATTCTCCCTAAATAACTGAGTATGATACCACGTTGCTTCTCCTTTGTTGCAAAAATTCCCATGCAACTATTCCTAGTTTCCTGTCAGCTGCGGGAAAACTCCACACACCTTTTCTATGAACTTTAGAATGGTTATGCCAAGCTTAATTCCATGTTGATCCTTGCCTTTTACCCTCTGGAAAAGCAGGTGGGGTTTATATATCCCTCGCAGGGTTATATAAGGCCTTAAACAGGTCACTTAGTTAAAATTTTACTTTGTTTTGCATGGATTAAGTCCAAAAAAGAGAGAGTCTGAAAGCAATGTGCTAGATACGGCGCTAAATGCTTCCAGTGCAGAGGTGACAAACACACTGATCCAAGATGCTAATCCAGATTGTCTTTGGGTGAGTATATTATTCACACCACAGGGCTAGAAATTAACTATAACCAAAAAGGATCCAGATTTAGCTGAGATACCACAAGTCCATCCCTGTCCTGAGTAGTGTCACCAGATAAGTTTATGGAGGGAATGGTTTAATGGTAAAACATAGTAGTCAAGGAAAGCCAAGCAATGGTAGGTAAATAGTATAATGGCTAACAGGGGT